CCAATAATACAAATATCACTAGTGGTTTATCATTTCCTAGAGTATTACCAAATATTCCAGTATTCACAATTCTTTCTTTTATTTTTTACAATGGCTGGCTTAAGGTAGCTGAATCACTTGTTTCACCGTTCGGTTTAGATGATGATGATTTTGAAGTTGTTCCATTGTTGGAAAGGAATTTAAATACAAGTTTATATTTTGTAGATACATGTATTTCCGATTCGAATTTAATCCCTGAATTAGTTAAATCTGGTTGTAAAATCGATATTGAAACTGATGATGATGATCATACTGATGGTACTGCTGTCAGTGATTCAGATTATTATAGTCGACTTAATATCCCTGGCAGTCGTCAAAGGAGAATTAGTACAAAGTCAAAAGGTGGTGTTAGTCGAAGAGGCAGTTTTCTGTCACCTAATTCGTATGATGAAAATGATCTATCAACACCTCATACTTTTGAATCACCTATGGATAATGAATCACTTTGGCCTGAATTACCACCTACTCGTCAACGTAAACCGTCACATACAGCTTTTATTGGATCATTGGAAATAGCTGAAGCTACAAAAGAAGGTAATTTAAAGTTTTCTCCTTCACTGCACTCTTTAACACCTGATCAACGGAGTCCACATTTACATCCTGATACATTAATTACTTCAGTAGGATCATCATTTCACCGTTTAGGATCTAAAATTAAGAAATTGTCATTCAGTCGATCAAATACTCCAGTTATTCACGAATTAAATAATCTTAATACAGAAATTCTAAGTTCAGATCGTTCAGATAGTGTTGTATCAAGTGAAGATAAATTTAATTCTAAAGATGCTTAAAAAATTGAATATATAAAAAAAGAAGAACCTGCTTATATTTCAAATTTTTTCTCTTGCCTACCTTTTTGTCATCTTGTTAATACTTTCCATCCAAGCATTTGTTCGGTTTTTGTATGTTTATTATAAGGTTATCATATAAAACATCGACACAAACAAACATTACCTCATGTGTTTGTTTTTCTTTTTACAACCGTATGACTGTGTTATGATTTTCTATTACTAACTTGGGTTGTATTTATACTGAAAATAACGTGTATGTTTTAACATAGTCTTCATCCTCTTACATAAACTCGTATTTGGAAAGAAGCAACCGCGCAATCATTTCACATTCCTCCCCTATTAAGTCTTCCTTGTCTTCATCCTGTTGTAATTTTTCTGAGAAAAATCAGAAATGGCATTATTTTTTAAATTATTTTAAATAGTCTAATGACATATAGAGACTTTTCAAACCGTACATTGTGTATAATAAAAAACTTTTCTAAAATGTAATTGTGGAATCTTTGTTGTTCGTTGAATTAGTTATATTTGTGTGGCGTACAACCCGATTATAGCTGCTACCATGGTGGGGTGACTGGCCTTGTATGTCGTGATAACCCAATTGTACTATATTAATCGGAACACTTGTTTGTTCAGTTCCTGCCACACCATATAGGTTGGTTGGAGAATAGTAAAACTAAAAGCAGCTAGCTCAAAGTCAGAGGGCAAAGTGAATACTGATGGTTGTACAGCAATTTGTTAGAAGTAAGGTATTAACACAAAATAACCAGCATCGACAGTGATATTTCGTTCTTGCAACGAAATAGTGTGGTTAGAAAAGGCCGACCCGTCAAATAGCACATCTCACCTTGTCCATTACTACTGGTCAGGCCTGAAAGATATACAGCTAACATATGAAAAAAGTACTGGCAAACCAACTAAGTTTGGTTTTAAGGAGCTGTCACCAGGGCTTTAGGGTTACTTCTTACTCAGTTTCTTTTTCAGTCCCTTAAAGAATAAGTATTCTTCCACAATATGGGCAACTGGGAAATTACAGTCACCATACTTTTAATGCTACTCATGCACTTAATTCACAGTCGAACCCCATCTTCATGTAGCGTACAATTAATTGGGTAAACCCGAAGTACTCATTACAAATTAGATAGCTAACGCATCATTTAATTTTACTGGGAAACATTGTGGTTTGTTTAATAATCTGTTTAAGTTTCCTAAGACACAGTATCATTTGTTTGAATTCACTGAGGTCAATTTTTCTCATTAGTTGGTAAAGCAACCTGAGAATTATCTTCAGGATAAGTAGTGATGAGATTTCTATGAAAATAAAGACGTTCAGTAGTGTCTTTATTCATTATTATTCAATTTCACTGTAGGTATACCCTTAGAAGTAAATTTTTTATTGTTTGACTTCTAAAGGGTTATTCTCTTACCTGGAGTTCCTTTGAGTGATTTGTAGTATTCAGATGACACGAGTGTTTGATAAAGATTCTGAAGAAATTATAGTCTTCTGAATATCTTGAGCGATAACACAAAAATGTTTAAGATGTGGTCCTCACCATTTAAATCTAAAATGTCGTTTCGGAACTAATCCGCGTCCATGACTATTTGGTTAACCACAAAGTATACTGCCATACTAATGAGGATCGAGAAAGCAGCTTCAAAGTTATTACAAAAATATCCAAATGGGGTTAGAAGTTGGGAATCAGATTTGGGATCGCTATGACGAACTAACATTATTTGTTACGTAAGAATCCTAAAATCTTTATCCTAATAGTGTGTCCTAGGACTGTAAGTCGTTCACTTACCTTTTCTGCCTTCTGAGTGGCAAAACGGATTATGACCTTAAGGTTATTCACCAGTATACTTCAAATTTACCGACTAGTTTAATCGTAAAGAGTAAAGTCTGATGTGTTAAAATTGCATCATCCTTGTTAAGTCGGTTACTGATGACATCTTGACGGAGATTCATAAAGCCTGTGGTGCAGATATGAAATCCATCTGCCTATCATTAATCAAGAGTGCTGCACATAGGTTACTGTTGGGTACTTTATGTTTACTTAGGTGGAGTTTTGTTCTCTGAGCTGGATGGTTTGGTTATACAGCTTTCGTTCTTCTGATCAACATCATCACCACAAATGTCGGGTAGAAGTGAAGTGTTCGAATTTCTCCGCTCACAGCTTGTTTCATCGGCCTCGATCTTGACTGGTTTTCGTTGATCTTTAATCTGTCATTGTTTGCCTCTTTACTTCGATTGTATCTCTCTTTGATCTGATTCTTTGTCCTATATTTTTCCTTGATTTTCCTGATTAGTTGATAGATTGGGTCGATTTTGATGTGTTTGTTGACTGCTGATCGATCTGAATCCCAAGCTTCTAAAAATTAACTGGTGTCTTTAGTAATCCCTCTATCTATGACCTTAACATTTTTCCAGCTTGGGGTACACTCAAAGTTGTTCACATGCATGGATATAAGCGAGGATATGTCATGGTGTTTGGTAGCTGACTGGTGTTCGCGCAGGCGAAGATGAAGGGGGTTTCTTTCCGAATTATGTTCTTTATTGACTTAAGAGGCTTGCGTAGATTGTTGAGTTTCATTGTTTAAATCGCGAATCGACCCTAGTTAAATAAGCGCTGGAAACAAAGAATCATTCAGCATCCATTTCGTCCTAGTATAAGACTCCTCAGCCGTACCCAACCACACTTCTTAAGGTTCGTTTTACGGTTATTTTTCATGGCAAAAATGAATTATTCAGTTGATTACTAGTTGACTACTTGGAAGCAAAACCAACACCTGACATTAATAGGAATCATTTACCAACTAGTAGCTGATTTCCAAAGGTAATCCTCAAGGTTCTGTTGGCGAAACTGTGGTCATTGTTCAACTATGCTGTACAGGAGGCACTTACCTACCAACGGTATTCGAAGATAATTGCTCAATAATGCTAATTGATTGAAGTTATAAATATAGACTTTTGAATGTTGACTTACTGAACAAAATGTTGAGCGGTAAAATGCGTCCTGCATTCCACAACACATCTGTTTTAAAATACTCTTGAAAACTTTGTTTATTGAAAATGAATTCATTTTAATCATAGGTCCTACCGTATCAACGACAAATCAGTAATTTCAATGATTGAGATCATGAGTCAATTGAAGCTACTATAATATCCACAAAACTCTTCTGATAAATCAATAGTATATAGCAGTGTAAGTCAAATAAGAGCCAATGTTATACCATATGCTAACCAAGACTTATCGAATTTCAGTAAAAACATCAACAACGAGGTAATTCAAACCGTTCCAGAAATCAAGGATTCATAATTTTGTCGTTATACACCTATCGTTTGTATGTTATCTCCCCTCTGGATAACACTGTCATAAAATTGATTTAGTTTCATAGCACTGAATGGTAGTCTAGACGGATGTTTTAGTTCTGAAAGTGGCTATAATGTTACAGATAGTAAATTTATTAACGTAGGCTGGAAGGAAAAATAGATTATTATACTTTCCTTATTAAACTGTTCTTATTTTAATTTAAAGCTAAGTTTTTCAGTCATCAGCTTCATTAATTCTTCGTTTTGCCTCAATTTCAATTAATTCTGTATATATCAATTGTTATTTATCTCAGATATATAAAAAATATTGGATTTCAGGGTGGAATTGTTACCTGACTTCATGATGTGAAATCTTTTACTGAGATGGTGAATGGTTTTAATAATGCTTTCGATAAATCTATATTTTATTGATCAGTATGTTGTTGCCCTTATCAACCATAATTTCCGCTGATAAATGTGTCACTTTTTGTTTCCATCAACTGTCTTTTTTCTAGTGGTGCGTATTATGTTTTCTCAGTTAATGGTCATATTACCATGGTTTATGATATTTTTATACCTTGTATTTGTTTACTACCCCTACTAACTGACAGATATGTCTTGAATTTACAAGAAAATAAAAGTCATGAAGATAATGATTAAGCTTGTGGGCAAATAAGGTAAATATCAAACAATTTCAAGGTTAGGAATTAGACCATCAAACAGACAAATGAATCATATATACAGTCTGTAATAACCTTAGTACTGCCTCAATTCATTAATCGACGATGCACTAGACTCTTAATGGAAAAATAATCAATATTGAGATTTGTGTGCCACATTGCGTATTATGAAAGTTTTATCATTAAACTACACACTGACCGAGATCGGCTATATTTCAGGGTGTCACTAGCCACATCCCCGTTGAATTGCACTTTCATGTATAAAGGTTTCTTACGAACCCTCGAAATTTCCGACTTCTTTATTATGTCATACATGTACTTCTTAATGAAAGCACTGGGGTAGCCGATCTCGGTCAGTGTGTAGTTTAATGATAAAACTTTCATAATACGCAATGTGGCACACAAATCTCAATATTGATTATTTTTCCATTAAGAGTCTAGTGCATCGTCGATTAATGAATTGAGGCAGTACTAAGGTTATTACAGACTGTATATATGATTCATTTGTCTGTTTGATGGTCTAATTCCTAACCTTGAAATTGTTTGATATTTACCTTATTTGCCCACAAGCTTAATCATTATCTTCATGACTTTTATTTTCTTGTAAATTCAAGACATATCTGTCAGTTAGTAGGGGTAGTAAACAAATACAAGGTATAAAAATATCATAAACCATGGTAATATGACCATTAACTGAGAAAACATAATACGCACCACTAGAAAAAAGACAGTTGATGGAAACAAAAAGTGACACATTTATCAGCGGAAATTATGGTTGATAAGGGCAACAACATACTGATCAATAAAATATAGATTTATCGAAAGCATTATTAAAACCATTCACCATCTCAGTAAAAGATTTCACATCATGAAGTCAGGTAACAATTCCACCCTGAAATCCAATATTTTTTATATATCTGAGATAAATAACAATTGATATATACAGAATTAATTGAAATTGAGGCAAAACGAAGAATTAATGAAGCTGATGACTGAAAAACTTAGCTTTAAAT